CTTGGTGGTGAGAACTCTGCAAATTCAGAAGTGTTTCCTGTTTCTGGGATTTCTGGGGCCACCCTACTGCACAGAAAGGTATCCCATGAGGGTCATGCTGCAGCTTTTGTGATCAGGGCTGTGGCAGGAAAATCTGTAAGTGGGATGTTCTGGGCAGAACAGAGCATTAGATTCTCTAAGCCCCAGTTTCCTCATTTAAACAATGTTATAACACCTACATGGAAGGGCTGGCCTGAGGATTGACTGAGATAATGGGAGTAATGTCCTTATCACCATGCCTGGAACATAATAGTAGCTCAGGAAATGGCAGCTGTCAATATTAAAAGGGATGGTAAGGAGAATACGCTTAGGTGCCCTGAATTTAATCTTGATGTTAAAATGGTTTGTGTCCCAGTCAGGGCTCCAGCCACAACCTGAGTGACATACGAGTATTTGGAGCAGGGAAGATGGTTTTTATAGAGAACAAAAAAGTGAGTTCCTGAACCTAGGTCAGTATTAGAGAATACTCCTGGCTATTAGAATCACCTGCAGTCCTTACTAACAAACTGGGACTCCTCCCCAGGCCAATTAAAGCAGAATTTTCTGCCAGGAGGACTCAGGCAGCAGAAAGCTTCAAACACGTCCCAGGTGATTTTAATATACAGCTGGTGCTAAGAAAGACTCATCTAGGGACTCAAATTAAAGTAATGGGTTCACAGGTATTTCAATTACTGTACACTATATTAAACAACAACCACCAAAGCAGGATGTAGCAATAGAAAGAAGTCAGATGAGTATGTAGGGGTGAATCTGAGTCAAAAATCGAACATTTGAAAAAACCATACATTTCCAAGAGAAATTATTTAAGGATACTTATTCTTTAAAAAAAATTGTTAGTATTATTATCTAGAAGCAAGGAAGTCAACACTTTTAGTGTTGGGAGTTTTTAAGCATCTGGTGATATTTAGGACATTTTCGGAAAAACAGAATTGTTGGTCAGAATGAATATTTTTCCTTAGGCATATAGTTGTGTCATATTAAGTGGAAAACAGATAAAATTTTGAATATACACTTTTGATCATAAATATATTAAAGAAACATGGGAAAATGCCCATGATTAAGTTTTATGAATAAAACCTCTCATGATACCATTTCTATATATGAGGATGCTTCATATTTTGAAAATACAGTTGTGCTTATAGAAAAACACTAAAGGGAAATTATAAAAAAACCTAAATAGTTATCCCTTAGGGTTGGAAATAAGAATGACCTTTTAAATTCTCATATCTATATTTTAAAAAATGATGAGGTATTACTTTTGAATTGGAAAAAAAATTAAACAGTCAGAAAAAAAATCACACACACACGAAAGAAATACAGCAAAATATAAGCAGAGGTTGATTTGATGAGATGAGATTGTGAGCATTTCCTTCTTTCGATTATTCTTCCTGTTGAACATTTTTGTGACAATGCGTATCTATTTTTTTTATAATTGGAACAAAAGAAACTCTATTGAAAAATAAAGATCAAATCCTGTCTCCTTGTTTATGAGTTTACTTTCTGACAAAGGGAGTTGGTGGAAGCATTTACAGAGCTGTTTGAAGTTTAGGAATCACTTAGCTCAGGGGTATGCAAACGTTTTCCGAAAAGGGCCAGGTAGTAATTATTCTAGGTTTTTTGGTCTATATGGTCTCTGTCGAAAGTATTCAGCCCTGCTTTTGTGGCAGGACAACAGATATAGACACTAAGCAAATGAACAGGAGTGGCTGTGTTCCAAAAACACTTTATTGATGGATACTGACCTTTGAATTTTATATAATTTTCATGTGTCATGAAATATTCTTCTTCTTTGGATTCCCCGCCCCCCATTATTAAAAATGTAAAATCATCCTCAGGCCATACAAAAACAGTTGAGAGGCTGGATTAGGCCCAAAGGCCATACTTTGCTGACTCCTGAGTTAGATAAAAATCAGGGATGTGATGAAGGAAACTTCCCACAGTTACGCTGAAAGTCTCCCAAAGAGATGGCTTTGATAAACTCTGTTTATTTTAATCTGTAAGTTCTTTGCATCTTTTTTCCTTTACTAAAGATTTGCTACTCACTTGGATGTCTTAGGAAAAAGATGCCAAGTCATTTTGTTGAAACATTAATATAGGAACAGGAACACTTGAAAGAAATGCTAATGCAAACCCAGGTCTACAAATACTGTCTTTTCTGTGCTAGGCATTCCTGGAGACAAAAACATGAATAACACATATCTTTATTATAAGTCAGTGATGAAGGAATTATAGGAGTGTACACAGAATATCGTAGGATCACATAGAAGGGAGAGTAATTCTGCTCATGGAAGATGACCTTGTGTTTATTGGAGAAGTTGGTAAGAAAATCTGGTAGGGAGACAGGCAGTTTTCACTGAAAAAACGAACACTGCAGAAGACAAGTTGTTTAAAATACAGTAGATTAAGTCACTAGGAACTACTAATGAACAATTTGTGGAAGTCACAAACTTTTTAACAGTGAATAAATCAAGAGACTTTATTAAAAAATTAATCCTGAAGAAAATCAGAACACCTCGGGCTGAAAGCAGCTACTTTTTTTTTAGTGTACAGCACCATCATTCTTCTTTTTCACCGCAGAAAATATTTTCCAGATTACTTTCTCTTATTGCAGCGAAACTAATGTTTAGTGAGTGAAATCACAAGATGTTGCTTCCATATTCAACACAGAATGTAGAAAATAATTGGGAGGCTGATTTTCTTTTAATTATGCAGAAAGCAAACAAATGCAATTAAATAAGTACAGGTTTGGAACAATTTGTGCATGATGAAATGCCTATGTTTATCAGGCTAACAGCTAAAATTAAGTGTTTTAATTTAACAAATACATATTTTCTTTTAAATCCATCCTTAATTGGCCACACCATAACTAACTTCATAATTTTGCTCTGTACTCGCAGAGGCGCTTTTTAAAAATAAACATACAGGGCTTCCCTGGTGGCGCAGTGGTTGAAAGTCCACCTGCCGATGCAGGGGACACGGGTTCGTGCCCCGGTCTGGGAAGATCCCACATGCCGCGGAGAGCTAGGCCCGTGAGCCATGGCCGCTGAGCCTGTGCGTCCGGAGCCTGTGCTCTGCAACAGGAGAGCCCACAACAGTGAGAGGCCCGCATACCGCAAAAAAAAAAATAAATAAATAAAAAATAAAATAAAATAAACATACAAACGTATGAATGGATGAGTTCATGCCATACAAACTATCCAAGTTCTAATCCAGAGTTCCCAAGGGCCCTGGAGGTCAGAGTAAGGGCTGGTAGCTCTGCTCTTTCTTGAACTACTTTATTTCTGTGTAACTCTAGTTGCAAGCAGCAACCCTAGATTCTGGGCATCTCTCAAAAATGGGGTTAAATGAAAGAAAAGTAACTTTTTCACCATCATTCTCTTTATTGCCTAAGTTTCTAAGCCTGCCAACCTTACTGGGAAAAAATGCAAAGTTAAGAATGTGAAGGGCTACCGTTTCACACTTACTCTGAAAACACACTTTCTGTTTCTGAAGAATGGTAGACTTTTATGTGTTACATTACAGAAACCGGAACAGGAGTTAACCAAATACCGTTTGGATTTAAAAGTAGCTTGAAACACCTTCTTAGCCAGCACAGTCCTAGAGTGTGGAAAAGCAGAGGTCTGCATTCTGGCCTCAATTTCAGATGGCCTTCTAGCCACAGTCCCAATTTCAGTATTTCATGACCCCCAAACCTTCCATTTAAACAATACTGCAGCTCCTTAGACTTCTTACTATAACTAACCCGTAAGTCCGTGATATGGTTAAAATATTCACTTGAGCATCAGGGAGCGCCCTCCAAAGTGCAACCGTAAATTGCAAGCAGCAAGGGGTCAGAGATGGCCAGATATTTTTGCAAAGCCTGAGTTTCTTTCACCCAGTATGCTTCAGGGTATTAAAAAAAACCTTAAGATAAAGAAGAGGTGTGGGGACTTCCCCGGTGGTCCGTCCAGTGGTTAAGAATCAGGGTTTCCACTGCAGGGGGCACAGGTATGATCCCTGGTCGGGGAACTAAGATTCTGCATGCCGCAGCACGGCGAAAACAAACAAACAAACAAAAGGTGTCATTTGCCTTAGGGTATTTTTATGGGGGAGATAATTATGAACTGAACTTCAGGGCCTCATGGGAACCAGCCAGTTTTCCAGCGGAGCCCCTCCGGCGCCGAGAACCTGACGGCCACGCCCATGCCAGGTCCCTCCCCTCGGCCCCGCCCACTCCGGGGGCGGGTTACTTAGGCCGTCACCATAACGAGGTTCGGCCTCCCGACACCTCTGTCCCCGACCAATGGGGCGGTGCCAGGGGCGGTCCCGGAAGTGACGCAAGGACGCGCCCTCCATTTTGTAGGACGCCAGAACAGCTAAGTGCGTCAGTTGTGGAGAGACGTAGACGAGTTGAGTCCTGGTCTGCGGGGAGGCTGCCGGCTCCGTTGCAGACTACGGACCTCTCTGGGTCTCAGCTGCCAAAGATCCTGTCCGGTAGGTGAGTGGCTCACTTTGAGGGAAAGGCTTCTCGGATCGAGGCTTCTTCATGGCCGCTCAGATCGCGAGTGGTCAGGGCTGCTCTCTGTGCGGAGGACGGCGTCCAATGAGCGCAGTTTATTCGAGGTGGGCGCTGGGGCACGTCTCCCTTTGGGTATTGTTTGAGGGGACCTGACGGGGGAAGGGCGGTCCTGGTCACGGTCGTTTTTACATTGGGGTCGTGTGCCCCTCCCTGCCTCCTTACTTCACTCTCCGAACCCGGAGAGTAGTGGGCCGAGACCTTTGCTCGGGGTGTGGTCGGGGCTGTCCCAGGGCGGGTACAGTGACCCGGAGCGGTGGGGTCGGGCGGGGGGGAGGGGACAGGGAGTTTGGCACGGGCGGCTGTCCCCACCGCCGGCTCCGAGGCCGCCATTTTGTGACTGCTCCGCGGCCGCCCGCCGCCGTCTGCGCAGGCGAGGCGGTGGCGTCGCGAGATTCCGGCTTCCACCCGCTGTGACTCTCCTGGGAGGCGGCGACGCGCGCGCAGCCCGTCGCCATTGGGCTGGACTTGCGGAGGGGGGGTCGGCTCCGCCCGCACTTCTCGGCCTTTCCTGACTGCGGCAGACGGGAGGGGGCCAGAAGAGCCGGGGAGAGAGTGCGGCTGCGCAGTTCCAGAGGCGGCAGTGGGCGTTGCGGTTGCTGCGGTCTGGGCCCAGGGAAGGATCGTGTTGGGAGCCGAGTTTTAATTTTGTCTGCAAGGGACCTGGCCTAGTTAAGAGGCACTCTTGGCAGTCTTGTTTATAACATCACCGGGTAAACATTTTATTTTATGCCGTTTATGTTTTTGATCCCTTGACCAGACATTCTTCTGACATTTCACCGGTGTTATCTCAATTGAATTATTTCCTGACAGGAAGTACTAGCGGGACATGAGTGGCTGTCGCGTATTCATCGGGAGGCTAAATCCAGCGGCCCGGGAGAAAGACGTGGAAAGATTCTTCAAGGGGTATGGACGAATACGAGATATTGATTTGAAAAGAGGCTTTGGTTTTGTGGTGAGTATTTAGAACTGGTTGATTATCTGTTGTTAAGTGCATAAAGATTGTGGTAAGCAGTGCCTTTGATTTTATTGAGTCCAGGTAGAGTATCTTTAGGAAATGCTTTGCATCATTGAGGCAGTGAATTTTCGTAAGGGATAAAAGAGCCTCACTACTGGCTGAGAGAAATCACTGGTGGTCGCTTTCTGATGTGGCTGAGCTATATGCTGTTGTCATTAAGATACTCTTCCTAGGCTTTCACAGGTATTTACTGGTTTCAGTGGGTTGTAGAATACACTTTTAAAGGTGTATGAAGCATTCGGGTTTTTTCATGTTTGTATTTTAGGAATTTGAGGATCCCAGGGATGCAGATGATGCCGTATATGAACTTGATGGAAAAGAACTCTGCAGTGAAAGGTGAGGATCTTGTTTTTAGTTTTATCACTGCAGTTAGCGCTGCAGAAATAGGGCAGACTAGGTCAGGTGGGTGTTTATTTCTAAATAGTTTCTGACATAGCTTAAGTGGATAATGAAGATGTTTCCTCCCTTTCTGTAGGGTTACAATTGAACATGCTAGGGCTCGATCTCGAGGCGGAAGAGGTAGAGGACGCTACTCAGACCGTTTTAGTAGTCGCAGACCTCGAAATGATAGACGGTATGTGATGGATGGTGGATGGCTGCTTTGAACAAGCGTTACTGCAGGAGGAGTCTTTAATGTTTAAAAAACATTAGCAATAAGCGATTTTGCTGTTTATGTATAATCAGTTCTGTTACATCCACTGATCCTGTGTGTGTCATAAAATAATGCAGAAACTGTTGGCGGAAGTCATTTGAATGACTTGTCGTATCTGATTGCTTGAACTTGCCCACAACTGAACACAATAAGTGCACGTTGCTTCATTTCTTCCATTGTGAGCGCTCATTTTCTTCCTCAGAAATGCTCCACCTGTAAGAACAGAAAATCGGCTTATAGTTGAGAATTTATCTTCAAGAGTCAGCTGGCAGGTTTGTTGAAATACAGTTTTGAGATATTGTAATGTGGCTTTTTAAATATTAGTGGGTAGCTAATGTTTTTATTAATGTTTTATTAAAAGTAATTTTAATTTTAAATTAATGGACTTAATCGTAATTTTAAAATTTTAATTAAATGTAATTGGGGGATATTTCAAATTTTAATATTAGTGATCAAATGTAAATGTTTTGAGGATATATTTTCTTGTTTTTTAAAATCAATTTTAACCAAATATTAAACCCTTTATTTGCCAGCCTATCTGTGTCGTTGGCCTTATGACGAGGAGTGCCTGTGGGTTATCCTAATCGTTGTCTTGGTCACTCTTGGTTGGGCCTGGTTGACTTTGCCAGTCAGCTCCTACAGTGATCAATTGGCCACCTCTAGATCTGTGTTTGCCGGTCTAGACGTAATCGGTGCACTTCCTTGAAGTGCCAGGTTGCAGCGATCCCAGAGCGTTGATAACGTGATCTGATCCCTAAGTTGAGAGCTGTCTTCCTGTAACGCTTCCGAATAAGAGGTCCTGGTCGAAAAGAGTTGAAAGATACGAAATTAGGTGGTCGTTGGAATCCTGATCGCAGTAAAGTGGTCCTTGGTAACTACACAAGAGTAGAACATGTCTGCATCCGCCAGTAGTCTGCTAATAGGGAGGGCTGTGCGATTAAAGGCTTCCATCGATTGGGTAGTATCCTTCAAGTGGGTGGCGAAGAGCCAGTCGGGCATATGTCATGAAGGTTTCTCCGACCGATTAATGGTTTGCTGCTTGACTAGCCTAGGGAAATAATAATAAAGGTAAAGTAAACTTTTTTAATGACATATGGGGCACAAGATAACTGGTGTCTTGTAAATGTTTTGTTTTTAAATATAAAATTTCTACTTTAGTCTTTACTTTAAAAATATGTATTGTTTCTTTTTGTTTTGTTTTTGTTTGTTTTGTTTTTTTCCTTTTGTATTGAGCTCAGTATAGACTAATACTACTTTAATGTTAAAATCTGAATTTCCTGGCATTTTGCTTAAAAGCAATATGCTATTTGCTTATTTCGTGCCCTGACATATATTATTTTTAAATTCTGATAGAATACAAGTGTGGTAAATACCATGTTTGTACTTTATCTAACATCTTCTCTTTCAGTAGTCTTGTTTTTATACAATGTGGTTGTTTGTGTGTCATGTTTCCTTTTCTCTGCTTAACACAATCGTCTTGTGTTAAGGATCTCAAAGATTTCATGAGACAAGCTGGGGAAGTAACCTTTGCGGATGCACATCGACCTAAATTAAATGAAGGGTGAGTATGTACTGGAGTATGAGCCTTTTAAAATATTCTGAAAGTTTTACTCTGAATGTTTGAGCTCTTAAAATTTGGGCATGCTGGAATGTAGCAGTTCTCAGTCAGGGTTGAGTTTGCTTCTCAGGGTGCATGTGGCAGTTCTGGAGACCTTCTGGTTGTCATGATTGAGGGTGCTGCTGGCATCTTGTGAGAAGAGGTCTGGGATGTTAGTAATCATCCTGTAATGCACAGGAAAGCTGCTCACCCCCAAAGAATCATCTAGCTTAAAATGTCAACGGTTTGGAGGTTGCAAAGTCTTGCTCTCATGCTGTTTTATCCCTAAAGAGATGACTCAATATAGCAATAGCAAAATGAACATTAAAAAGGTACTTAAACTAGACTGATAACATAGTTTGTGAGACTACAAGAAGTATATAACTTTACAAATGGCATTTTTTTCTTTGTAGGGTAGTTGAGTTTGCCTCTTATGGTGACTTAAAGAATGCTATTGAAAAACTTTCTGGAAAAGAAATAAATGGGAGAAAAATCAAATTAATCGAAGGCAGCAAAAGGCACAGGTATCTCTTTAAATTGTTTTTTAATATAAATTTATTTTATTTTGGCTGTGTTGGGTCTTCGTTGCAGCGCTTGGGCTTTCATAGTTGGCAGCGAGCAGGGGCTACTTTTCATTGCGGTGCGCGGGCCTCGCGTTGCGGTGGCTTCTTGTTGCAGTGCATGGGCTCTAGGTGCTTGGGCGTCAGTAGTTGCAGCACCTGGGCTCACTAGTTGTGGCTTGTGGGCTCTGGAGCGCAGGCTCAGTAGTTGTGGCACACGGGCTTAGTTGCTCCGCGGGGTGTGGGTTCTTCCTGGACCAGGGATCAAACCCGTTGCCCCTGCATTGACAGGAGGATTCTTAATCACTGCCCCACCAGGGGCGTCCTGTTTAAATTTTTAGGTCAGAGTTTCATTTAATGGATTGTAGGGCCTGCTACTTAGTGTTTTTTGTTTTCTGTTTTCTTTCTTTCCTAGTAGGTCGCGAAGCAGGTCTCGTTCCCGGACCAGGAGTTCCTCCAGGTCTCGTAGCCGATCTCGTTCCCGGAGTCGCAAGTCTTACAGCCGGTCCAGGAGCCGGAGCCGGAGCCGGAGCAAGTCCCGTTCTGTTAGTAGGTCTCCTGTGCCTGAGAAGAGCCAGAAACGTGGTTCTTCAAGTAGATCTAAGTCTCCAGCATCTGTGGATCGCCAGAGGTCCAGGTCCAGGTCCAGGTCCCGGTCAAGGTCCAGATCAGTTGACAGTGGCAATTAAACTGTAAATAACTTGCCCTGGGGGCCTTTTTTAAAAAAAAAAAAAATTCCCAAACCATACTTGCTAAAAATTCTGGTAAGTATGTGCTTTTCTGTGGGGGTGGGATTTGGAGGGGGGTTGGGTTGGGTTGGGTTGGGCTGGGTATCTTTGTAGATGTGGACCACCAGGGGTTGTTGAAAACTAATTGTATTAAATGTTTTTGATAAGCCTTCTGCTCACATTTTTGTGAATGTCTGAAGTATATAGTTTGTGTATATTGACAGAGCTCTTTTATAACTAAAGCAAATTAATTTTTTTGTACTAGAAAAAATTTGAACGTTTTAGTTCCTGGTTATTCAAATATGTTAATACAGAATTAGTTTAATGCCTCACTTAAACTAATTAATAGCTTTGGACACTTAAAAGAGCTCTAAATTTGCTTGTACGTAAAGGCTTAATTTGAGTTTTCCTTGTTAGGGTCAAGGGTGTCCGTCCCCCCACCCTTTAACAGCTGCCTGGCAAAGACGTTAAAGCAGCTGTTTGTTATTGATAATAAAAGATTATAAAACTGCTTTTGTCTGTTTGTTTGAAGGAAGTGTGGCTACATCCTCCTCCTTCCCCATGCACATTTGACACATTTAAAATCCCTGGTAGAGAAGGCTGTAGTAGTGAGGTATGGTGAGCCTTTTTTTGTTTTTTTTTTAAATTAGTACTGTTGACATTTCTTCGCTAGTCAGAAGATGGGCAAAGAAGTGTGAACTGTTCAAAACAGTGATAACCAACAGTTGTTACGACGGTTTCCCTTGTGCGTGATCCTCCTGTTCTTTAACCACCCAATTTTATTTGGTGTCACGTTATTTAGGCCTTCCATAGCCAAGAGAAGGACAATTTGGGAAGGAAGATTGTAAAATTTAATGTTTCATGCCTAACTTAAAGGTTGTAATATAATTTTGATGGTCGGAGATCATCACATAAAACTTTTAAAATCACTGCACATGAATGCTTTAAGGGGCTTTCACATGATTTTTCTTGTCCTGAGACATGGATGTAACAGTCTGTAGGGAAAACAGTTGGGTAGTGAAAACTGCCTAAGGTTCTACATCCATCTCTGTTAAGTGTTAGAGCCCTATACCTATAGGAAATTAGTTTTATTGTTTCTTCTAGGAATTTCATAGGCTCATTTGAGTGCTAGTCTAGATAAATACTTGTAAGCATAACAGTGAATAGCAAATAGTAGCCACTATTAAGTCCCTTGTCTGTATAGTCACTGAGTCCTTAACTATTATATGTAGGATATATATAATTCCTGGTATTAGAACCCAGGAAGTCTAGTTCCAGAACCCCCAAACCACTCCACACTCATCTGACCTAACCTTTCAGGGATTTTGAGGAATGCAGAATTAGAAACCCTGGGAAGATTGGGCTTCCCCAAAGGCGGGGATTGGGTAGTGGGAATCTCCATATGTGGAGGCTAGGGTTAAAAGTTCTTGGCATGAAAGCTGCCCCGTGTTCAAGACTGCAGGACTCAGGTCATACAATTGTGAAGCCGATGTTTTTAACGCAAACTCTTCTGGGGAGAGTTTGTGTGGTATACTTGTTTATTCACTTAGATGTGGGGTACTCTGCTTACTAAATGGGAACCTAGGTTTTTTTTCTTTACAGTGTATCTGAAATGGAAAGGCACAATTATTTTCCCCCTTGGGCTTTTTAGATGTGGTAACTTAGGGTGACGTGGTGTAGTTCGATGTTTTACCAGTGACTTTTCACCTCTCTGTCATTAAATAGGTAACATCAGTGGCTTACCACTTTAATAAACAAGATAAAGCCCTTTCTTTGAACAAATGGCAGAGATGACTAAGTTATTTTGAACTGATAAGTTGGCCTGAATTCCCAGATACAAGACATGAGAAGTAATGAGTGTGGGTATATAATCCTAAGCAAAGTTTTAGGACCAGGTTTTGCAGGGCGTAATGTAACTCGTTTTGTGTTGGGCTGTGCTGCGTGGAGTGTGGGATCTTAGTTTCTGGACCAGGGATCGAACCCGTGCCCCCTGCAGTGGAAGCACGGAGTCTTGAGCACTGGACCGCCAGGGAAGTCCTTGTAGCTCGTTTTTTATATACAGTTGGCCCTTGAACAGCACAGGTTTGATCTTCATGGGTCCACTTATATATAGACTTTTTTCGACAAATATGCGTTGCTGTGTTACATGATCCATGTTTGGTTGAATCAGTTGACGTGGAATCTTAGATACAGAGGGCTGACTAAAGTATGCTCGAATTTTCAGCAACATGGAGGTTGGCTGTTCAGGGGTCAACTTAGTCCTCTAAGGAAGTTTGAGTGTAATATATCTCAAGTTCAGCCATTCCTTCCTCAAAAAGCTGAACTTAACATTTGTTTTGCCTCACCCAGTCTACTAGATATGAGAGAAAACAGTTTGAACAGATATGTAAATGTGGGTAAAATATGTAAGGCTGATAAGTGGTAGATCTTCTCACAGTTTTTTTTTTTAAAACAAATTTGCATTTTTAAGATGTTGTTAGTGACCCAAATTATTGGTGTTCTGGTGCTGGGAGTACTGGTAGTTCTGGACATTTGCCAGACCTAAAATTTACTTGTCTTGGTTTCAGTCGAACCTAATCACATTAAGTGGTATGAAAATTACAAGAAACTCTATGCATGGTCAGCTGTTTGCAAGTGTTCTTATTAGTTTGTTAATCTTTCACTTTTTTTTTCCTAGATTTATTTTATTTATTTATTTATGGCTGTGTTGGGTCTTCGTTGCTGTGTGCAGGCTTTCTTTAGTTGCGGCGAGCAGGGGCTACTCTTCATTGCGGTGCACAGGCTTCTCATTGCGGTGGCTTCTCTTGTTGCAGAGCATGGCTCTAGGCACACGGGCTTCGGCAGTTGGGGCTTGCGGGCTGTAGAGCACAGGCTCAGTAGTTGTGGCACACGGGTTTAGTTGCTCCACGGCTTGTCGGTCTTCCTGGACCAGGGCTTGAACCCGTGTACCCTGCATTGGCAGGTGGATTCTTAACCACTGCGCCACCAGGGAAGCCCTTTCGCCTGTTTTTTTATGCCTATGAGCCAGATGGAAAATGTCTGAATTTCATTGGGGAAAATTTGAAACTTAAGGATTTTAGTTACTTTACTTTGACTTAGCAACCGCTAATTTCGGCAATAGCCTACAGTACTCTGAATTTGGAGGGAGCATAATGTGAAAACTACTGATACCTAATGAAGGGATGGGACAGATGATTAGTGAAACTACTCTGTTGGTATTTGTACTTTTTTGGCTTTTCTTTTTTAAAGTTTTCCTTCTCTTCTGGAATTGTGTTCTTCAAAATGTTCTTTCATTTGATTATAGCTGAGGTTTGGAGTTTGTCTTATCCAAGTGTTTTTGCATTTTATTATGTCTGCTTTTGCGTACTTGGTGTCATGTTCGCAGGAGCTTTAATTCCAGTGACGTCAAAAGGGAAGGAATGGGATCTGAATATTTAAGGTTAGAAAGGACTTCTGAAGTCTGTTAATCCTACAGTACTCTGAGCTTGTATTTCCCTTTTGGGTCACAAAACTTGGAACAGAATTTGGGTATTTGATTTTAGGGTAAGAACCCATTTATTGACTAGTTCAGAAATTGCTTTTTTATGCCTATCAGGCACTGTTCTAGAGATGCAAGGGCAAAAGGCAGTTTTGGTTCCTGCCTTTGTAGGGCTGTCATTGAATAAGTCTTTTATTTTTTAAACAAGTATCAAGTTGTAAGCTGGGAATAGGTGAGGCTTTTTGGGGTAGACCCCCACTTTGTCCTCCACGCAAGGCTTGATGATTCTGATAGTTTATGGTGGAAATGCTAGAGAAAGAGACCCCACTGGTGGTGGTTCATCTTTCTGCTCTCTGTATAGTTTGCCACGTTGGCTTTCTGAATTGCCTTCTGACCAGAATCCAGGTCACTGGGGAAGGCTAGGCTGTGCAAGGGGGGCACGCCTCCCCTCTGTGGGTGCCATTTCCCAGAGCTGTTGGAATGGTTTCTTCAGTTGTGTCAGCTTTGTAGATCATTTTTGTTTTATCTGTAAAGTTGAAGAGGGTCATAGGTTAGGAAGAACAAAAGAATAGTTAAAAAACTTGTTCTATCTGGGAGATAAAAGAATACCAACTTACTCCTAGGGTGTCCTGTGTTTTTGTTTTTTCCCCCATCTCTTTACCACCTCTTCTCCCATGACAAACTGAGGAAAGATTTGCTTTCCCCTCAACATCCCTGATGGTAATACTAGTAACAAAAGGTCTAATAAAGAGCACTGACTCTTCATCACTCCATCTCTGACTTCTTAGTACACACAGTACAGATGGGGAGTTGAGTTTATGTACGCAAAGGTTGACTATTGCCTTCTGGGAGCCAGTGGGGGCAGGGAGGAAAATGCATTAAGTGGGAAGTCTTCCAAGGGGTGTTTCCATACCCCTATCATTGTGGTGTCGGGTCTACCCCTTTTTCTGCCTGCATGGCGGTGGCGAGGAGCTATGATTATGGTCCCCCTTTCCTGTTCTCCCATCTCTCTAGAAGGGTACAAGGGTCAAAAGCACAGAAACTTGTGACCGATTCTTTAACTTGAGCATTGCTGCTTGGGCCCAGACAGTACAAGAGCTCCAAAGAGGTGAGTTATTTGCACTTAGTTTTGCCACAGGGGTCTTGCTAGGTGCATTGGTTTTGAGAGCCATAGACTCAGAATATGGCCTCTTGAGCACATTTCAGGCCTTTCTGGGACTAAAACTGCAAATCTGGGAATCTGCTTCTTTTGTTAAAGAAGGTGGAGTGTTCAATGGGTAACAAATATCTTGAGTTGCTCTCAAGAGAAGTATCAGATTAGGTTCTTTTCCATAACTCCACTGTAGTATTGAACCAAAGCTTAGTAAAAATGGTTCTGAAGTATGGTTACTTATTTATTGGTTTCTTTTTGGCTACTTGATAACCAATACTACATCTTTTAAGTTAATTGTAAGTCTTCATTTGCTACTATAAGATGATAAATTCTACCAGGGTAAGTTGTATCTTTCTCATAAGGTGTAAATCAGTCTCCAGGGTCTAGACGTCTCGAAGGCATCCTCAGGTTTGTGGGAAATGAGTCAGTTGAAGGATTTGAGTGGTTGAGATGAATATACTAATGTTTAGAGTTATAAAATACTGAAATATGTTACCGACTGAGATTTGAGTTTTCTGATTTGAAAAAAAAACGGGGGGGTTTAAAGCCCACTAAGGGACTCGGTGGGCTTTCTTGAGGTTTCATTATATCTTGAAGAGAATGAAATACTCTAAGCATCTTAGGAGGTGCTGTTGGCTAGGAAGTTATTTAATCCTAGTGGTAATTACATTAAATTATATTAAATCTAGACTTTTGATAGTTGTTATTAATTTAATAAGCTTATATGTAAGTTTTGTTTACTGTGTAGCCAGAGTTGGAATCCTCACTTTTCGATTCTGGATTATTGGGCTGCATTGCTTTCATGTTTTCTCATATAGGAGTGCCAGTGGTGCTGGGGCTCTGACCTGGCTCCATGGCTTGAGAACCTACTCTTAACATGGAAACTTAGTGACTTCTTGTGAATAGGACTTTTCACGCAACATCTCACAACTATGTAATGTCCAAGACAGTTCTGTCCTATTTCTATACCCTGAGTCCTACGTGGTCTCCTGAGTCCTGCATGGTCTCCCCAGTTAAAGTAGCCAAAATCGCCTCTGTTCTATGAGGCAAACTCCACAGCTGATTCTCCCAGCAAAAATGAAGTGCCATTATTATAGTTAGTCATGGCTCTTTGAAATCCCTTCCTGCTTATTGGTGCTGCCTGGTTCCTAATGACTTTATGGGTTACAGCCCTATCCAAAAGGTCCTTGCTAGAGATGGTTGCTGGCAGAATCATGTCCAAAATGGGAGCAGAGCTCAAAGGGGAACAATTCAGTACTTACGCTTGGAAGGCTTGATTTTCTCATGGCACCGAAAGATGGCAATGAGGAGAAGCCCTTCTCCAAGCTGGAAAATCATATAGAGGAGAGGAAAGAAGAAAAGTGGTCCAATGACTTCAGGGGGGAAGGTCACGTTGAGGATGGTGGAGCAGAGTTGAATATTTTGGCATCCAGTCTCCATGCTGACAGTGCGTCTGCACCTGTGTAGGTTAAAAAAACAACCCCATATGCCCTCAGAGAAGGCATATGAGGGTGCAACTTCACTTGCTCATCTCCCTTCTCCCAAATACTCTTAAGAGAAACTGACAGTCCAACACAGATAAAAATGAGCCACGTGTGGAGTGCACGGTTTTGAGAAAAGTCAAGTTGGCCCACCTCTTAAATCACCAATCCAGCCTTGTGGGAGATGGTGACTGTTAGGTTCCTGTTGGGGAGTTTTTATGAGGGAATTTTTGAGTAGCTTGGAAATCTACAATTTGTCACTTGCGGGATTATCAAAGTGAATTTTGGAGAAATGTCTGGCTGGAGGGATAAAAGGAAGATGGGAGCCAGAATCATTCATTGGCGTATGTTGGGCTTACATATAGGACAGTTAGAATTTAAATGTAAAGTAGAAGATTGTCTAAGTGGGAACCTTGCCCTGTGGTCCAGTTTCTGTCTTGGACATCTTTTAACTCCAAAACACAATGATTAAATAAAAGCTTGGTTCCATTATCTGTCTTTGGAACACATCCTCGGTTTTGCTTTCCATTTTATGGATTAAAGAATGGAATGTTTGTTAACATTTAATACATTTTATTCACTGAAGTGCAATTAGTATATTAAAATAGTTCTTTGCTAAAAAAAATCGCCAGCGCTGTCTCAGCACATTTACTATGAAGGAGACTACTGTGGGCACTTGATGCTGTGGCCATTTATCACGACCTGTATCATTCTGTCTTCGTGAAAATTCATGAGTGGTCATTGGCAGCCTTTTGACTGCTATATCACCATGTGTTGCATCCTACAGTAATTTGTTCTTTATTAAATTAGACTGGTTTTTGAAATGGATAATTATTTTAAAATTGTATTTTAAAAACAACTCTTCGGGGCGTTGTGGTACGAGGCTGGAGTGCAACTGTTTAGACCCCTGCGTAAACATCTGTCTGCCATGTGGCTGAAAATAGGGAATCTTGAGATGGGGTACCACTCTGTATAGACAGGGTGCCTAGGGTGCCTGATGTGTCCACACCCGGCGCTCAAGCTGACTGTTCCCCTAAAGTAGCAGGTGTGTTTGTGAATTGGATTAGGCTCTAGCAGAGGTCCGCAACTACTTCAGCTCTGAGTGGCACTTAGCAGAGTTGCCACCCAAGGTGTTGTGTCAAGACTAAAACCTAGACAGAAAGGGAGGAGAAGTGGGAAAGGGATTGTCAGCGCTTGTCATGACATGGAGCTACTCCACTGCCATTTGCCACCAGGGAGTTGGGCGGGAGGTGGAATGTAGGCTCTGGAGGGAGCACTTTGCCATGAACTGCTGCCCTTTGGATGATTTGATGCCTTTGGTCTTTGTGTTTTGTTTCTGGATCTGCGTTATTCATTCAGTACCTTCCCTCCCCAGTATTTCTCAGTCCAGAGTTCATTGTTCAGTTGAGACATTTGAATATATTGCTTGAAAAATGCCTTCCCGAGATCATGGATCTTACCTTTTTCTGAGAGACAAGAATGAGCATGAGACCCGTGGGACAGTGGGACCTAAAATAATACCTACCGTCCGTTGAGGCGGAACAGAGCAGAGAGAACGTAGCCTAGCAGGAAGCCGATGAAAGGCATCAGGGAGGAGGTGGCCAGCAAGTGTGGTGTCATGACAAACAAAATGCTCTTGCCCACGTTGAGGACAGAGAGCACTACGACAGCCACACTGCACAAAAGCAGGAGGATCATCCCTCCCTGTGAATAAGGACAAGGAGGAAATGCAATTAGAAGGATACTGGGCATGTGGAAGAGCAGAGAGGGCTGGGGAAACACTGGTGGGTATTGGAGGTGGAAAACACTTTAATCAATGTATTCGAAGTGGGAGGGAATGTGAAAGACCTTTATCTTTCATCTTTTTGGATTTCTCATCCGTAGCTAGGAAGCTTCCTGGAGGTCATAGATCTGATTAACACGTTAGGAAGACTGAGCCAAGCACAGCTTCTGATCGACATCTCTGGATGGCAGGTTTTCAGTGAAGTGCTATGGCTCTGAAGGATGAGACTATTCAGTCCTCTGGCAAAGTGACTATTGTAAATGAAAGTTCTCTTTCAAAGTCTCTGAAGCCCGTCCACATATCCCTACAATACTGCCATTGCTGTGGTCATTTTGGAGCTCAGTAGAAGTTATTCTTAGAACCTGTCATACTTGTCTTGAATACCTCCATTATGGGTAGGGACTTCATCCATCCATTTTACGATGAATTTAACTTCTGGACATTGCCAAAGTCATTTGAACCAAAGCTGGTTAAAGCAGGTAATGAAGTAAGGTAATGTGGTTTTAGATCCTAAATGATGTATAACTGTAAAGGGATGAGCCTACTTTCTTGAGTGACCTGCAGATTGGATGATAAGGAAGTTCCCAAAAGGAGTTTCAAAATGGCTCAGGCAATAATGGCATCATTAGAAGCAGTTCGGGTCCCTGTTGGTGGGAATGTGAATTGATACAGCTGCTGTGGAGAACGGTATGGAGATTCCTTAAAAAACGAAAAATAGAACTACCATACGACCCAGCAATCTCACTACTGGGCATATACCCTGAGAAAACCATAATTCAAAAGGACACATGTACCCCAATGTTCATTGCAGCACTATTTACAATAGCCAGGACATGGAAACAACCTAAATGTCCAACGACAGATGAATGGATAAAGAACATGTGGCACATATATACAATGGAATATTACTCAGCCATAAAAAGGAGCGAAATTGGGTCATCTGTAGCGACGTAGATGGAACTAGAGTCTGTCATACAGAGTAAAGTAAGCCGGAAAGAGGAAAATACCGTATAGTAACGCACATATATGGAATCTAGAAAAATGGTACAGATGAACCTATTTGCAGGGCAGGAATAGAGACGTAGACTAGAGAACGGACATGTGGACTTGGGGGGAAGGGGAGGGTGGGACGAATTGGGAGATTAGGATTGACATATATACACTACCATGCGTAAGATAGCTAGCTAGCAGGAACATGCTATAAAGCACAGGAAGCTCAGCTCGGTGCTCTGTGATGACCTAGATGGGTGGGATGGCGGGGGTGGGAGGGAGGTCCAAGAGGGAGGGGATATAGGTATACATATATAGCTGACTCATTTCATTGTACAGCAGAAACTAACACAACATTGCAAAGCAATTATACTCCAATTAAAAAAAAAAAAGTGCAGGTCCACCCTGCCTCAGGTAAGTGCTGTGAAAGCAACTGTCATCAGGAACAATGGTATGTTTTTATATGTTTTAAAATACATTATTTTATAGTTAACATCTTACCATTTAAAATTTTCAATAGGCAGATTTATGAAATTAGAATGTTAAGATTTTTCAGCATGTAACAAGGATGCAAGCTTTCAAAGTGTGCTTACCTGTCTGTGCATTTTAGAGGATGACACACTAAACTGATGAAATATACACATACACCTAAGCCTCTGTCCCTCTCATCTTCTGAGTAAAAGGATATATAGCAAACTTTTCTTGAACTTACCGTGTTGTTTTGTAATGGTTATATGTTTTGGTTCCGTTTCCAGCTCATTCGCACATGTGGGGTTTTATATTTCCTACTACCATTTTTTAAAATTGTGGTAAAATACATATAACACAAAAGTTGCCATTTTAACCATTTTTGAGTGTATAATTCAGTGGCATTAATTACATTACAGTGTTGTCCTAGCGACATTTTAACATTTATTTATATTGCTCTAATTTCAGCTGTACAGTTCTGCATTTCTGTGTTTTAAAGCCATGTTGCAGCTGATAATGATCATATGAAACATCACCTGTACTGATGGTGGTCCTGTCCCAGGAAAGGAAGGAATCTCACCAGTAACAACATGCTTCAGGTTTTATTGAAAGACTGATGAACTGCTTGGTTTGCCCTTGCATTTTGAGTTAATTTCTGCCTTTTGGGTTTGTCGTCTACCTAATGTCCAGTTTTTGCCCCTATCAAAAGAGTGTAATGGATAACATAGGGTGTACTGGGCTACAGGGATTGTGAATGAATCCAGAAGCCCTCTTTCTCTGTGTGAGTATCACTCTCATCCCCTCACTTTCGTTCTCCCAGTCTTGGGGCCTTTGGAGTGGTGAGCACAGACAATGGTGTGACCCAGGTGTGAAAGCCATCCTCAAGACGTGTAAACTGGTGAGTCATGCAACCTCTCTTGAGTGAGGTTGACAGCACAGCACCTGGCATATTAGAACCACTGACTAAATTGTAGCTATTACTACTCAGGGAAAAGAGAGGAATTTGACATCCCAAAGTTTTTTGTCACTCTCAGTCCTGCTTTTTGTGGCGATCTCATGTCCATGACCTGTTGAGAAAAGAGGCCATAGGTGGGTGCTTCTTCATAGGTCACCATGTTTTCTACCACCTGCACTGTCCTGTCATCGCTGATTGAAGCTGTGATGAGTGTCCATTCATGGGTAGCCGACTCAGCTTGCCAGTGATCTAGGAGATAACCTGGCCCAACTCTTCTTGCATCGGTGACCTAGGCAGGTTGAAGAATGACCTAACTAGTGAGATCCTTCCTCTTGTTTAGGGAGTTTGAAGAGTTACAGAGAGGGAAGCAAGAGCAGAGGCAAGTGTTAAAATTTTGACACAAAGGCCTGGGAGCAGCAGAAGCCACGAGTTGGCAGAAGCTGTGAGATTTAGGAGAGTCAGGTCAGTTCATCCGTAGCAGCAGGTATGAGAAAAGCATAGGTAGAGTGGTTGAGTCAGTGTCAGGGCGGGATCCTTATTGAAGAGTGATGGTTGGCTTATGGTAAGAGTGGCTCTTAGACCATATGTCATGCTCAGGTTCACCAACTTTCTAACCATGTAGGCTTGAATAAACCCTTGCATGGGTAAGTTAAAGTATTACTTGAATTGCCTTTCCAAATGGGGCATCCCTGAAATTGTATTATTATTGTGTCTAAGAGTTTAAGTGTGACCTCCTTCTAGGGAATGCAACTGGTTGAGCAGAGTTTGAGCAGATAACCCTAACCTTCTGCCAGAGCCAGTTACCAGAAGTTGGATAATTTTGATTTGAAGGTCTCTAGGAGTGTTAGGTGTGCAAAGAGGCCGGGACAATTGTTTGCTCATTTTCCAGCTTGTAACTCACTACATTATGAAACGGGGAGATTAAGGATGAGCACAGTCCTCAAAGAAATGTAACACGAGGAAACTTCAGCGTTTGCATCTTGACCACTTGTTTTTCTCTGCATCCTCACAGGAGTGATTCCTGTTTGGGAGTAATTGATAAACGGAGCTGTTGCCCTTCTGCTTGTCTAACCTTGGAGGTTTGGCCAGCCGCAAAGTGTCCCAAGATACGCCTGCATTTTATGTGATTCTTTGTTACTGGCCTCTGTCTTTCCAGCCCAAGTATATCTCAGCCCTTTGAATGTTCTCCGGGGTCTTTTTTTTTTTTTTTTTTTTTTTTGCGGTACGCGGGCCTCTCACCGCTGTGGCCTCTCCTGTTGCGGAGCACAGGCTCCGGACACGCAGGCTCAGCGGCCATGGCTCACGGGCCCAGCCGCTTTGCGGCACGTGGAATCCTCCCGGACCGGGGCACGAACCCGTGTCCCCTGCATCGGCAGGCGGACTCTCAAGCACTGCGCCACCAGGGAAGCCCCTCTGGGGTCATTTTGACTCCATTTTTTGCTGTGGAATTGAGGCATGGATGTGTAACACAAGAGGAACAGGAGTAGAATGAGAATAAGGCAGGAGACTGAACTTCATCTTGAAGGGCTTTCTCACTTTAAGATCTGAGATTCTTTTTGCATCCTCAGAAGAACACTTTTTTTAATTGAAGTGTAGTTGATTTACAATGTTGTGTTAATTTCTGCCATACAGCAAAGTGACTCAGTTATACATGTATATATTTCATATTCTTTTCCATTATGGTTTATCACGGGATATTGAATATAGTTCCCTGTGCTGTACAGTAGGACCTTGTTGTCCATCCATTCCATATATAATAGCTTGCATCTGCTAACCCCTAACTTCCACTCCATCCCTTCCCTACCCCCTGCCCCCAGCAACCACAAGTCTTTTCTTTACATCTGTGAGTCTGTTTCATAGATAAGTTCATTTATGTCATATTTTAGATATCACATATAAGTGATATCATATGGTATTTGTCTTTCTCTTTCTGACTTACTTCAGTAGGGTAATCTCTAGGTCCATCCATGTTGTGCAGATGTCATTTCATTCTTTTTTATGGCTGAGTAGTATTCCATCGTATATATGTACCACATATTTGTATTTGTCTTTCTCAGAAGAACACTTTATTCTGAGGTAAGGAGACATGTTCTTATATCAGTTGCCCTTGGGGTTCTAGTCTTTGGTTTCACCTATAAAGTGGAGGGGGGCAGAGCTGCTTTAAGTGATATCAGGAGTCACTTCACATTTTTATGTTCTGTGATTTTTTTTTCTTTATTCCTGTATCCCACAAACTATCTTGAGTAAGTGAAATGATAGACACATGTTTCTGGTTTTTTGTTTGTTTTTTTTTGCTAATGTGTGGGAGAGACAGGACTTGCCCTTTATTCCTTTGTTTATTCTCAGGTATTAGCTGTGCGTGTTGAGAATTCAGTGTTGAGGCACAGCCTTAGGATGTTGCTTCTTGCAGGTGGGTGGGGAATAAGAATGGAGTGGGTATTTATAATACAGTATGATACATGTTGTTGCAGTGGTGTTGCGTGATACGGGAGCAAGTAGGACAAGCATCCTGCCCAGGCTTGTGGGTTAAGGAAAACTTCCTAGAGGAGGTGCTAATTGTGTTGAGACTTGAAGGGTGAGTAGGAGTGAGTCCAGTGGGGCATGTGCAGAGAAGAGAGCTGACACTGGAGAGGTTGGCTGAGACCAAATCAAGAAAGGGCTGAGGGGCCACGTGACTCCTGGGGGAGTTTAAAGAACCAGTGAAGGCCTTTAAGCAGTGGAGTGACATGATAGTTTCTTTCCAGACTCAGGTTAAAACTGGGTCAGGGAGCCAGGTTAGAAGGCTGAGTTGTCTAGTGACACTAGAGAGGAGAGTGCCTGAATGAAGACAGTAGACACAGGGATGGAGAGACATGGGTTCAAGCAAAAGAAGGCAGAATTGACGATCCCTGATTCGTGTGAGTGGGGAGGGAGAGGATGTGGAGAATGACTGTCTGGTTTCCGGCTCAGGCAGTGGGGCACGTTGAATGCCATTCATTGAGATGATCACACGGTGGGAGGAGGGGAAGAGCAGGCTTAAGGAGGTGGTTTAAATTTAAGACATACTGAATTTTAAATGCTTGAGGCATATTCAGGTAGAAAGATTTGGCAGTTAATAAATGGATTCAGGAGTCAGGAGAGAGCTGAGAGCTGTTCTGACGGTCATCAGCTTGTAGATGGCTGTTGAGATGGACCAGATCTCATGGTGGGGAGGTCCTGGGCTTAGGGAAGAAAAGCAAGAAAAGCAGAAAGCTTGGGCTGAATGCAGAGAAGTAACTTTTACCAGAGGAACTCACAAGGGAGTCTGAAAAGCAGTGCCAAAGACGTGGTAGGAAAGCAGGTGCCCTGCCACTGAAGCTGAGGAAGATTTTTGAGAAGGAGGCAGTGGTCAGCCATACCAACAGCTGCTAAAAGAAGAGTTGAGACATGTCCATTGGATTTGGTGAAGAAAGTGGAGCAGGCGGTCATCAAGATGCTGAGTGAATCGGAGGCCAAGGAGTAGAGACTGTTGAGGCCTGGCCACTGGAGAACTGTCCTGCGGGCCAGTGTGGTGAGAGTGGAAGGTGGGTGGGGGCAACGGGTGACTCCCAGGAGCACGGCTCGGAAGGGGAGGAAAGAGAGGTGTTGGCTGGAGTGGGAAGTAGAGTCCCATGACTCTACTTAGTAAAAAAAACAAAAAAAGGAGAGATGTGAACCAGTATCAACGTTGGCTGTGAAGAACTAATATGGAGACGTTCTAGAAATGAGAGCGAGGGGGAGGAGGCTATGGGGGTAGAGGACATGATCAATAAAAGGAGATTTCTGAGAAGTAAGGAGAGAACGGAAGATGCCATCCAGAGCAGAGTGGGGTGATGAGCCATTTGGCAGGAGGAGGAATGACTTCACATCTTCAACAGGTGGGGAGGGGGACTATGGCCATGGTATTAGGACTACACCGGGACAAGGGCAAAAACTACCCTTGACAATGGTAGTGTGAAAATCAAAAGACCCTGGAAACCTGACCAAACCTCTTTGTTCCAGGCCCAAAGCTGCTGGAAGACTTGGGCCTCCAAGTGGTACACCCTGTAGCCCGGCCCAAAGGCATAGATCCAGGGGTGGGGACCACAGCAGGCCTTCAGGAGGTGAGGTTTTCCTGAGGACGGGGATGGAGCCTGGGATCCTGGGCTGAGCAGGGAGCCAGAGGAGAGACTGATGGGAACTGAGCTCCAAGGTCACAAGAGTTGGTAGAGGAACCACTCACTCTACAAGTCTGATTTTTCCAAAGGCAGGGCAGTGGCGTGATGCCCTCATAGCACACTCCTACACCTGCTGGGGCCATCTCACTCCACTTTTCTCCTATCCCACTCCTAAAGTGATACAAGTGTGCCTACCACCTCTCCCCCTGGCCTCCTCCCCTCTGGCTTCTCATCCAGTCAGCCATGTTTGCCCGTGGTCTCCCTTGGAACTCCTCTATTCAGGCATCTCCCTAGGCTTACCCAAATCCAACCCTTTCTTCATGGTCTGGCTGAAACCGTGCCCCCTCCTTCCATCCTCTAGGGAAGCCTTTCTTGACCACCTGGCCCTCACTAACCTCACCTCCTTACATTCTGCCAATACCTGATTGTACATTGTGTTGGATCTTGTTTCTCATCTATTATTGACTTTCTGCAAACAAACTTCGAGGACAGTGGCTCCTCAGAGAGTGTAGCATAAAACTTAGCAGCTACTAGGTACATGATAAAAGTTTAATTTTATTATTAAAATAATGATTATACCTTATAGTTGTGTGTGGTGTTTTACTGTTTTTCTCCTAACTTCAAAAATATTCTCATGTACATTACAATCCCATGAAGTAGGTTGTACCAATAGCAGCAGACTTCTTTTGTTTTTTTTAAACAAGGAAGGAAACTGACACAGAAAAAGCCCAAATGACTTGCCTCAAGCCATTCACTGCGATGATGGTGGTGTTGTCGCTCCCTGCCCAGGCCCCCAGGTTCTTACCTTGGTGACATAACGTACGTATTGTGGCCGTTTGGATTTGAGGATGATGCCTATGGTGCAAGGAATGAGAATGAGGATCAGTGATATCATGATGTTGCCATAGGGCACCTTGTCCTTCAGGGTCCCATCATAGATGCCCCTGGAGTAAATGTACAGGAGGAGGGGCATCATGCCCAGGGCAAAGAAGGTAGAGCAGGTGGTCATCACGATGCTGGGTGGGAGACATAGGAAGAGTGCAGAGAGAGAGCCCGTTAATACAGGCACAACCTCATTTTAATTGCGTTTTGCAGCTGTGGTTTTTTTTTTTTTTTACACAAAGTAAGGGTTTGTGGCAACCCTGCCTCAAGCAAGTCTATCGGTGCTATTTTTCCAACAGCATTTGCTCACTTCATGTCTCTGTCACATTTTAGTAAGTCTCGCAATATTTCAAACTTTTTCGTTATATTATGGTGATTTTTGATGTTACTACTGTAATTGTTTTGGGGCACTGCGAATCACGCCCATGTAGGACGGTAAACTTAAAGGATATAAATGTTGTATGTGTTCTGACTGCTCCACCAACTGGCTGTTCCCTCTTCTCTCTCTCTCCTGGGGCCTCCCTATTCCCTGCGACACAACAACATTGAAATTAGACCAGTTACTAACCCTACAATGGTCTCTAAGTGTTCAAGTGAAAGGGAGAGTCACATGTCTCTCATGTTTTTAAATCAAAAGCTAGAAATGATTACACTTAGTGAAGAAGGCCTGTGGAAAGCCCAGATAGACTGAAAGCTAGGCCTCTTTCCCCAAACATTTAGCCAAGTTGTAAATGCACAGGAAAAGTTCTTGAAGGAAATTAAAAGTGCTACCCCAGTGAGCACTCGAATGATAAGAAAGCAAAAAAGCCTTAGTGCTGATATGGAGAAAGTTTGAGTGGTCTGGAGAGAAGATCAAACCAGCCACAACATACACTTAAGCCAAAGACTAATGCAGAGCAAGGCTCGAACTCTCTTCAATTCTAGGAAGGCTGAGAGAGGTGAGGAACCTGCAGAATAAAAGTTTGAAGCTAGCAGAGGTTGGCTCATGAGGTTTAAGGAAAGACATCATCTCCACAACATGAAAGTGCAAGGTGAAGCAGCAAGTGCTGATGTAGAAGCTGCAAGCTATCCAGAAGATCTAGCTGAGATCATCAATGAAGGGGGCTCCACTAAACAACAGATTTTCAGTGTAGATGAGACAGTGTTCTACTGGAAGAAGATGCCATCTAGGACTTTCATAGCAAGAGAGGAGAAGTCGATGCCTGGCTTCAAAGCTTCAAAGGACAGGCTGATTGTCTTGTTAGGGGCTAATGCAACTGGTGACTTTAAGTTGAAGCCAGTGCTTATTCCAAAAATCCTAGGGCCCTTAAGAATTATGCTAAATCTACTCTGTGCTCTATAAATGGAGCAACAAATCCTGGATGACAGCACATCGTTTACAACTTGGTTTACTGAATACTTCAAGTTCACTGTTGAGACCTACCACTCAGAAAAAAGATTCCTTTCAAAATGTTACTGCTTATTGACAATGCACCTGGTCACTCAAGATGTACAAAGAGATTCATGTTGTTTCATGCCTGCTAATACAAAATCCATTCTGCAGCCCATGGATCAAGGAGTAATGTTTGCCTTCAAGTCTTTCCATTTAAGAAATACATTTTGTAAGGCTATAGCTGCCATAGATAGTGATTCCTCTGATGGATCTGTGCAAAGTTTGTTGAAAACCTTCTGGAAAGGATTCACTATTCTAGATGCCATTAAGAACATTTGTGATTCATGGAAAGAGGTCAGAATATCAACATTAACAGGAGTTTAAAAGAAGTTGATTTCAATTCTCAGGGATGACTGAGCAGTTCAGTGGAGGAAGTAACTGCAGAGTGGTGAAAATAGTGAGAGAGCTAGAAGTGGCGCTTGAAGATGGGACTGAATTGCTGCCATCTCCTGATAAAACTTGAATGGATGAGGAGTGCTTCTTACGGATGAGCAAAGAAAGTGGTTTCTTGAGAAGGAATCTACTCCTGGTGAAGATGCTGTGAAGATTGTGGAAATGCCAACAAAGCATTTAGAATATTACATAAACTTAGTTGATAAAGTGGTGGCAGGGTTTGAAAGGATTGACTTCAATTTTGAAAGAAGTCCTATTCTGGGTAAAATGCTATCAAATGGCAAAATCATTCATGAAAGGAAGGTTCAGTCTTGTTGTCTTATTTTCAGAAATGGCCACGGCCACCCCAGCCTTCAGCATCCACGACCCTGATCAGTCAGCAGCCATCAGCATGGAGGCAAAACCCTCTACCAGCAAAAACTACAACTTGCTGAAGGCTCAGATGATGGTTAGCATCTTCTAGCAATAAAGTATTTTTAAATTAAGGTATGTAAATTTTTTTAGACACACTGCTATTGCACACTCAGTAGACCACAATATAGTTTAAACATAACTTTTATATGCCCTGGGAAACCAAAAAATCCATGTGACTCACTTTATTGTGATATTCTGCTTTATTGCAGTGGTCTGGAATTGAACCTGCAGTATCTCCAAGGTATGCCCGTACAGACTACTTTGTGGAGTGCCTGCTTTGTGCCAGGCATTGTGCTAAGAACCTTACATACATTGCTTTATTTCCTTTTCCCAGTAGCTTAGGAGGTAAGCATACCATCTCCTTTTTGCTAATGAGGAAGCTGGGGACTTGAAGAGTTGTGGCTTGCCCAGAATCACACAGATAGGAAGGCTGAGGCAGGATCTGAACCCAGGTCCGTCCAACTGCTTCAGTCCCTGTGTGCTTCACTGTGGAAGGAGCCATTCTGATCTCCTCTGTAGTAGAACTCTTTTTGCTCTCTATACTTGACATAGCACAGCCCATTTTGAAGAAAGCTGTGTGAGCCCATCACTCTGGCTATAGCCCATTGGAACATAGAATAACACCTGACCTACTAAGTTGCTAAGTGCCTGCCTTAGAGCCTAGGGGATGGCTGGACATAGTGATTTTGTCTAACTAAGATAACAAGGATTAAGCACATCAAGAGCATTTTCTCACTTGGGGAGTTTGAATGTGTGCACAGTGATAGAGCACTTGGTTTTGGAGAGGCATGTTCAGGCAAAACCCAAAAAACATGCAAAGAAAAAGCAGTAAACAGAGGCCATGATTAGGAGGACTGTAAACAACAGCAGCAAAGCAGTAAAAACAGAATAATGGAAGGACCACAGTGGTGGAGCTGTAGAGAAGGCAGCAATAGTTACCCATTGTTGAGTAAGTGACAAGATAATCTGGTCATCAGACCTGTTTTTTATCTTGAATAATATTCTAGTCCCCAACACCAATATTCTCATGTTCTTTACTTTCTGGTTTATCCTTAACATTATTTAAGAGAAATTGAGTGTGTCTCAGATCCTGAAAAATAGTATACCCTCCCAGCTCTAATCTGTATCCTAACTGTCCTAAATGTCCTATTACCATCTCCATTTGGAATCTCATACATGTTAATCAGAGTACTCTGTGTAGGAAGAGCCCCTCCAGAAAGACCAACCGAGAGAAGAAGCTGCTAGGGAACCTTCTTGGGTTTGTAGACATTCACCTTACAATATATGCTCTGGCTTCCATTCTAGTGGGAAGGTTGGGGACAAGGCCTTGACAAGACCGCAGGAAAACCACACTAAGTGTGTGTCCCTCCTCCCTATAGCCCTATTCACTATCTACACCTCTTCATTGTTTCCATAGAGGTCAAATATGGCTTAAATGAATATCAACTACATCCTAGTCCAAAGGGTCTGGAGTATAGCCATCAAGAACACAGAGTTATCATATGTCCCAGTGACTCTACTCCTAGGTATATACCCACGAGAATTGACAGCATATGTTTACACAAATACTTGTATACAAGCTTTCATAGCAGCATTATTTATAATAGCTAAAAAATGGAAAACAAAATATCAACGGATAAGCAAAATATGGTGTATTCATGTAATTCAATATCCTTCAGCCATAAAAAGCAATGAAGTACTGCTATATACTATCACAAAGATGAACCTTGAAAACATTATGGTAAGTGAAAGAATCAGAAACATAAAAGGCTAGATATTATATGATTCCATTTACCTGAAATCTATAGAGACAGAAAGTAGATTAGTGGTTGCCAGGGGCTGGAGTGAGAGAGGAATGGGAGTGACTGACTGCTAATGAGTATAGGTTTCATTTGGGGATGATTAAAATGTTCTGGAATTAGATACTGGTGGTAGTTGTACAACCTTGTGAATATTCTATAAACTACTGACATATACTTTAAAAAGGTGAATTTTATGGTATGTAAATTATATCTCAAGAAATAATTTTAAAAATCTAGGGAGCAGCTAAATTAATTCTTAGAGGAAAATTTATAGCCTGAAATGTTTATATAGGAAAAGAAAGATTAAAAATTAATGAGCTAAGCATTTCACTCAAGAATTGAAAAGAAAAACAAAGTAAACCTAATGAAAGCAGGACAAAGAAAATATTGAAGACGAGAGAGTAAACTTTAAAAATTATATAAATTAACTGAGAATCAATTAAACCAAGAGCAAGTTCTTTGCAAAGTCTAATAAAAATAGACACCGCTGGCGAGACTAACCAAGAAAAAGGAAAGAGGGCACAAATTGATGTTATTATGAATGCAAAAGGAAACATAATTTCAGATACAATAAAGATTTTAGAGAGTCATAGAAGAAATCAAGGACAGTCTTATACTTTCATTTTTCTATTCAGATTGAATGGACAATTTCCTGGGAAATATAATCTACAAAAACTAACTCAAAATGAAGCTGAAAACCTGAATCAACTTAGAATCACTAAAGACATTTAATCAGTAGTTTGAAACCTGTCATCCAACCCCCACACGATGTACATATGGTTTTACAGTAGAGTTCTACTAAACATTCAAAGTACAGATAGCCTCAGTATTATATAGAGAGCAAAAAAGTGGAAACATGTCCCAAATTATTATATATGAATAATAAAATTTTACAACCAAAGGTAGAAAATCACATTATGAGAAAGGAAAATTAGGGTCCAGTCTCATTTATGAACACAGAAGCAAAAGCCATAAATAAAATGTTACCAAATGAATCTAGCCATGCCTTTAAAAAGTAATGCAATGAACAAAATGGGTTTATCCCAGCAATATAAAAATGGTTTAACATTAGACAATCTACTGATATATATCA